TGTGCACCATCTTTGCACATTGAAATAATAATAGCAGAGAAGACAGTGAAAGCAAACAAAAACAAATGACACAGATCCCTAAATGTGTTGACTCGTTGCAAGAAGTTGCTGAGGTCTCTGCTGGGCTCCTGCAAGGGAGAAGACAGCAAGTAAACTGGGAGGCTGAGGCTAAATCTGTACTTCTGCTATGAAAAATTTGGTTTTCAACACTGGTAATGTGCTGGATCACTTGGGAGAAATCTTCCTTCTCCCTGTGGCCACCAAGCAGCATTTGAAACAATGCTGGATAATCTCTGGTGGGGCCCTTCCTTCCCCACAAAGTGCTCTTGGGTACCCACCCCTGCCCACCACATGTGCCCAGGAAGAAAATCCCCACACCAGCAAGAAGGATTTTTCCCTCTCCAAACCTTCTGGGCTGCAGTGCAGGCACGTGGCTCACGGGGAGCCTCAGCAGGAGCTGGGCAGGAGGGCTTTGCAGGGAATGGTTTATCTGTCAGGAAGGACTGTGGGATGCATCACTTGGCAGCCCCCAGCATGGCTGTGTACTTCAGACCCCAGCACGCTCTCAGCAAAACAACACCAAGATGTTTATTTTCAAAAGGACAATATGTTTGACAAAATAAATGATATTTGATTAATACCCACTGCTTTTCTGGGTTTTTTTTTTTTTGAAGGCAGTAAATTTGCTGACTGTATAAACATGCCACAGTGCTTCATCTTCCTATGCCAACATTTCAGTTACCTCATCTCCAGGGAATGCCTTTAGTAACACTTTGACAAGCCTATTTAGAGGGTTGTTTGTGGGTTTGGGTTGTTTTTTTTCCCCCCACTTTTATTTCTTAGGGAGGTTTCCCATGAGGAAGCCACAGGCTGGAGCTGAATAAAATCCACCTTTTTTCTTCCTACAGAGACCTTCACTATGTCCCTAAGAGAAAACCCAAATTCCAACACTAAGGACCAGCAAGCATCCTCCAATGTCATAGTTTTTCATCCCATTCCCTTCTGACTCAGGTTTCATTCCCCCAGTACCTCCATACCTAACTCCTTGCTAAGGGAACAAATAACATACTGGGAGAATTTGTGATTTTCCTGGTGCCCAGCTGAGCCACCCCAGCTGTGGAGCTCAAATTTAAAAATCTCTGAGTTTGTGGGAATGGCCACCTGCTCCTAGGGGGTGTGTTGTGTGATCTGGTAAAGCTTTAGCAGCACTTGTCAATCATTAAACTGCAGTGCTGCTGGAAAGGTCAAGGAAATTCCCACCAAGGCCCCCAAGTGTTTGGGAACCAAAGGGTATTTCTGGCTGGATATTTCTGGATTGCTTTAGCTTAGGGGAGCCGCAGAGCCTGCAGGGCAGGACTGGTCTGGTGGGCTTGGCCAGTCCCACCACCGAGCTGTGTGCTCCAGCATGGGAAGGAGATGTCTCAGCAGCACACGTGCCTGTTTGGAGCATTCTGGGTGTTTGACTGGTTTCATATATTTTATTTTAAACACTTGTGCACCATGCCCTCTGTGGGAAGGAGATGTCTCAGCAGCACACGTGCCTGTTTGGAGCATTCTGAGTGTTTGAGTGGTTTCATATCTTTTACTTTGGAGACTTCTGCACCATGCCCTGTGTGGTGCCTGCTGCAGCCTGCTTGTCTCCCTGCTCCCTTGGTGCCTCTTGCCCACCACCACCAGCTCCTCCCCATCTCACCATGGACCAGCAGCTGCCAACAAAGCAGAGCAGGGGCCAGACAGCCACCTCCTCCCTGCCAGCACATCAATCCCCAGCGTGCCACCCCAGCAGGACCTGAGCTGTGCACCAACACAGCCCCCTCCAAGGCTGGACAGTGCCCTTTTCGTTGGTGGCATCTCCCTTGTTGTGCCCATAGCTCAGCATGCAGCAGTTTGGACTGAAAAGCAAATCAAAATACCTGATTATACAGGTAAAATACCTGAAAATACAGCACAGGATTCCACGTGTCCCCCTTCTGCTGACCCACAGGAACATGCCAGGTTTCTCTGATGGTGCTCTCTGCATCCTCCATGCAAGGGGCATTTTGTTTCAGCTGGAAGCTCCAGTGAATCCAGCCCTGGATCCTTGTTAGGCCCATGCTCCAGAGGACTTGAGGGCTTTGCTTATGGAGATGCATGAGGAATTCTGAAAATCTCCCTGAAAAACGAAACTGAGACACTTTAGATTTCACTTTCCCAAACAGCATGAGCTGTAAGCAGCAGCTGTTTCTAGCAGCTGTTCAGTGTGTTAGATTTTACCATTCCAGCACTAAACTATTAGTCAATTGATTAATGAACTGGAACTTCCCATCCAACAAAAATATTTTGGTTTTAAATTATAATTTGATGCGTGGTTAGTGCAGAAATGCATTACACATGCTAAGCACATGTTTGCATCTCCTCACCACCCTCAGACACAGGGAAAGGTGTCAGCTTCATCACCTTTTTAAGGCTGCTTGCAAACCCCTCCAGGGAATGCAGTTTTACCTTTAATGCAGTTTTTTATTTTGCAGACTGCACGAGGGTTGATGCTGCTCAGTCCTGCCCATGTGTGGGATGGGGCCAGCAGGCTCCTGCCACCCCACTGCTGTGATGAAAGGATGCTGTGGGGCTGAAAGGAGCTGCAGAATGGCCAGGAAGCAGTAAAGTTAACTGGCAGGAGTGAGGGCTCAATCATCTGAGACAGGAGACATTCCCAAGGTTGCCAGGCCTTTATCTGGTGGCAGCACAAGGTCCCCAGCCCACAAGGCAGCACTGGGACACTGCTGGCAGCTGCACCAAGGATCCACAGCTCTGCACAGGCAGACATGGGGACTGGAGTCAGCAGCAGCTCAGGACTGGCCCTGGGTTTCATCACAAAGCTAAAAATTATCTGAAAAGGAGTTGTTCCATTGTTTGGGGTTTTTTTTCGCCAGAAGTACCTCCATGCCATAAACTCCTCTATCCAGCTAAAACCCCAGGTATTTACTCTGGTGAAACACTCTGCAGGTCAGAAGTGGCCACCAGTGGTGCCAAATTCACATCATGTGTTATCATGGAGCTGTATGCACAGCTGAGCTCCAGCCCTGGCACCTGCCAGCAGCTCAAGCCCTTCTCTCCTTGACTCATGTAAACATATTATCATACATATGATGTGTATACTCATTAATAATATCAATAATGATAAAAACTGAAATAATCTCGACTGTGTATTAGCAGTTAAACCTGCATGCCCTGGGACAAGGTTTGGAGCTCCAGGGACACATGCAGAGGGGAGGTGACAGTGCCCATCTCCTGATGGAGGGGCCCCATCCCATGGCAAGGCAGGTCACAGTACACAGAAATCGTGTAGAGAAACAAACAGGGAAAAATTATTCCTTATTTCTCATGATGGGAATGAAACACTGCCCAGAATTGAACATTAGGTTTATTCCACCTCAGTAGCCAGGGCATTCCTTGCAAACCCCCTGTTAAAACATGTGCACAAACCCAGGGCAGGGGAAAATTCAACAGCTGCTTTTTCAGGCTGTAATCCGTTATTTTATAAACTTGGCAGGTAGTGGGCTCAAAGGCTGGTTTTTTGTGATCTCTGATCATAACAGAGTCTCCAGCAAGCACAGATTTGCTAAACAGCAAAGGGAAACCAGGCTCAGCATGCCTCAGAGGGTCTTCTGCTGAGAAGCACCAGCATCACACTGTGGTGAAGCAAGTGGGAGAACCCACCAGGCTTTGTGAGACACAGCAAGGCACAGCCCACGCCAGCTCCTCAGAGAGAAAACACACTGGACTTGTACTGAAAAACTGCTGCCACCCTCCCATCCTGATGCTTATCTAAGGAAGCAGCAGCACACAGAATATTTGTGACATATTAGAGATGATGTCCCTGCACTGGTACCAGCAATACCTGGCGAGGCAGAGGCAGCACATCCTCTCTGAACAAACCCAGCAGCCCACTTCCACCCCCAGCACTCCCAGGGGATGAAAGGAAAATGATCAGAAGGCAAGAAGTGATTCAAATTCAAGTGGCACTAATAAAATATTCCCTTTGGTGGAGCAGAGGCTCAGGGGCTCAGCCAGCTGCAGCACAGAGAGCTGGGATGATGTGAGGAGCTGGGCCAGAGCAAGAGCTGAGCAGCAGGAAGGTGAAGAAATGCCTCTGCCAGCACCACCACTGGCTCTCCCTTGCACTGCCCCGTGCACCAGGACCCCTCTGACCCAGGGGTCAAAGCACAGTGCCAAGAGACAGAGGATTGCAGTTTGGTTTGTGAACATGTAAAATATAAAAGTCAAAAATATGTAAAATACAAAACCACATCACAGTGCATGGATGCAAAAAATCAGCCCTTACAGGAATACCACATGTCAGCACTGCCCAAACACCCCCAGCACTCACCCTGGTGTGGATGGGACAAGGATTCTGAAACCCAGAGGACAGGTCTCCAGCAATTAACCATCAGGTCATGCCATGGGTTAGCCCAGATCTGCTCCTTTGTATCAGGAGCAGTGAACTGGGAGTTAACATCTCCATGCAGAGGAGTGGAGCAACAATCACCTCTCCTTCTGCCACAAACCCAAAGCACTTCACACAATCCCAAGGCTTCAAATCAGAGTCAGACAGGTCAGCCCCACCACTTAGACTGGGTAAAGTTTCTACTCTCCAAACCATCTGACTGCATGGTTTGGAATTATCTACTTTCTCCTAAACATAAAGCTGCTGTAGAAGAGGCCTGATGCACACAAATATTTGAAGCATGCACGTGTGTGTGTGGGGGTGTGTGCACACATACATGCACACGCTGCAGCTCAAGATACTGCAGGTATAAACACTCTAGTAAAGGCAGAGCTTAAACAGAAATATGCAACCATCTTGGCCAGAAACCAAACCAAACCCAGCCCATTCATTTAATCAGACCAAGCCAAGTCCTGGTGTCCCTGAGCTGGGCACAGTTGGTGTTCCCAGGCTGCCCACTCCAGTACAACACAGGCTGTTGTCTCACACACACGGGAAGCTACTTCCAGGGCACCACTTACAGAGCAACCAATCTTTATTTTAGAGATAGCTTATGTAAAGGAACATGCAAAGAAACACATGAGTAAGAGTCTCATCTGCCTCAGGCTCCTGTAAAAGGCTGTAAATCCTTTTCTTCTCCCCTTTCACAGCACAGCACGTTGGACTGTCATTGTTCACCCCGCAAGCACAGCGCGTACACCCCGCCGTCGGTCCTTTGGCTGGAGCTGTGCTTGCAGGTTTCCCGTGGGAAAGGAGGTGCTTCACTTCTGAAGAATGAAACCAGGTTGTTGCGTGTGCCACCAGGATGCTGGTGGGGATCAGCCAGCTGCACTGAAGGGCTTCAGGACCTGGCTGGGAGCAGCAAAATCGCCTGCAACTTGCCATGGGGCAGGTGGGCTTTGTGCCCAGGGGAGCAGATCTTCACCTCAATCCCAGTGCATGACAGCTTCTCTTCCACAGCATCTTTCTCCTGCTGAGTGTCTGATCTTCTCTCTCCCCTGTCTTCACATGCTCTCTGTTACGTCCTGACCAGATTCCCAGGGGTGAGACTTGAATTTGGAGTAAGTACAAAAACAGGTTGATCTACAGAAAAAATCTGTATTAAGTCAACTAGGAATCAGGGGCATGATATTTGCAGAGAGTATTTCATAAACCATAGGTGTTCTGTACCCCATGCATGTTTGAACAACTCAAAATGAAATATGGTCGTCACCTTAACAGCAAGGGAGACCTCAATGTTCAAAAACTGCAAGGAACACAATTTAATATGAACCTGCTTATATTTAACAGGATTATCTTTAAAAAGCACTATTAGATATTTACTAGTTTGCCATGAACCAACACGTTTTTAAATTGGGGTTTTTTTTCTGTGAAGAGTCTTGAAAAACTGACTCAAGGCATTTGTCCTGTTTTTGGAAATGTGCATATATTTGAGAAGAGGTTCCGAGTATCTTCCTCACTAAAAAAAGGCGTGGAGAGACACGGAGTGATGCCACCAGCACTGCTCATGGCTGGTGGCCCAGCAGCAGGAGGAGCAGGGCAATGCCAGCAGCAGGCCTGGGGTGGGTGGCTGCACTGCCAGGGTCGCTGCTGGGGACTGCAGCACCATCTTTGCTTTGCTGATTCAGAAGCTGCTTATTTGCAGAGATGTCATCCATGTCCAGGTCATAGGCCAGCTCTGAAAGCAGAAGGAGAGAGGTGTCAGTAACACGTGGTGTGTGTCAACATTCTGACACACAGCACATCCAGCCCCCACAAAACTGGGGTTCTGGGGGCAGCCCGTGCCACAGCTGAGGGCAGCTGGGTCTGGGTGCAGTCAAAGCCATCACAGGGCTTGATGGGCCAGAAGAGCTTAGCAAACATCTTGGCAGTCCTGCACCCACCAGTCTCAGTACCCTACACCAAATCTTATGCTTGGAGAGACCAAAAAATCCCAACTGTGAGGTGCTGCAGAAAGAAAACAAAAGAGGTAAGTAAGGGATGTGCCTTACTGGAGAGCTACTCCCAAAGAAAAGCAGCTGAGCTTTGGAGGGGGTGTTTAGCAATGCAAATTGTGTCTGGTCCCCAGGCACAACAAGGATGAGTGCAGGAGTGAGGAAATCCTGGCGAGCACTAACACTTCCCCAAACCCAGAGTCAGCAGAAGGCCTTGCTCACCAAAGCCTCCTGGCTCCTGCAGGATCTGAGGAGCTCTGCATTCCTGGAATCTTACGTAAGAGTGTACAAAATATGCTCCTTATAGCACTGAGAACACATCCCATCCCTGGTCCACCTCATCAAAGGAAGGAATGTGAATGGCTCATGCACTCTGGGCATGCTGGTGTTGCAACATGGAGACTTTGAGATGGAGCACATGTGAGTTCCAATCCAAGAAAACATCCAGTATAAAAGTTTGGATAGTACTGGCAGAGAAGCATGGCATTAACAGAGGGCACAGCTTGTGGCAACCATCCCTGGCTGCAAGTGACCTGCTGAGCAGCAACTCACAGCCTCCCTTGTCTTGCTGGGTCAGGGAAGAATAAAAAAGTCCAAATAGACAATGTGGAAAGACAAGACACCAGCAAATCTCAGGGTCAAGAAGAAAGAGTAAAAGGTGTTTTAAGATGCCATTAGCCAGATCTACCTGGGGCATTTGAACCTGCCAGTCAGCTGGACTGAATGGGTGCACTCATGCTTGTTCTCAAGGCAGTGGGCTCTTGCTCCCCCCTGCTTGTGCTGCTGCCATCTCCTTCTGGGGTCCAGGTTTCTCACCCAAATGGGAATCAGGTAAGCCTGTTTGTCTTATCCTCAGAGCCTGGCCTTTGGAGTTGGAGGAAACTGGTGGTTTCCATCAGAAGAGACCCTGGCTCAGGACTTTTACAAGCCTCCTGGATCCCCAGCATGTTGGAAAGGTTTGGATCATCCCACCCCACCCCTGAGAAAGAATCCAAGAGACTGAATAAGCACTCTATCTAAAAAGTGCCACATCAATCCAAAGAACACCACTGCCAAGGCAAACAGGCAGTATTTCTTAATCAAAAAATACCCAAACATTGCAAAACAAAAGCAGAAGGATGTTAGCATGACAAGTGAGTCAGCACAGGCCATCAAAGGAGGTCAGAAATGGCTCAAAGGGAGCAGTTATCCCTGCACAGAGAGGCCAGGTGCAAGCAGAACCCGCCTGGCAAACTGAATTCTCTAGTAGATCCCCACAAATATTGCAATTCCTCTTTTCCACAGCTTTCCTGCTTTTCTTTTATATAGTACAGATATGCTGCTGTCCTCTGGCACTGCACACCCACGGGAAGAGCAGGGGAAGAAAGGTGCAACCTTGAAAGGGATGTGTTGGGAGCCATTCCAAGCACAGAAAGAACAAATCCCTGTGGCAGGAGGCATGCTCAGGCTTCAGGGCAGTTTGGGAACAGCCTGCCTGCACCACTTTATTTTCCCAAGCTCATTTATGGAAAATAAGTGAAGGGTTATTGAGTTAATAAAATCACAGCAGATTATTTCACAGTTGGTTGTGACACAAGACTCCTCAGCTGGCACAGTGTTGGACCACAACCTGCCTTAGTGTGTTTTGGAAGGTATTTCCACACATTACAAAGGCTCCCGAAACCTAAAAGATGCTCCATGGGGTCACAGCACTGTCAGGCACCACGCTCCCAGACCAGTGATCATGAGAACTTTGGGGCAGAATATTCTCTTACTGGACCTCCTAGCAAACCTAAAAAAATTCCCCAGGAACTGAGTAACTACTCTTGCCTTCCCTTTAGGAAAGAAATTTGAAACAAAAGAGTGTTTCAGCAAGGTCCTTAACAGCACAAAGGGTTTTGACGGCCCCATTTACAGTCTTGTTCTGGGGTGTAATTTATGAGATTCGAGTTCCTGCACGGGTCTCAATGCAGCAGCTGAATCCCCTTGGAAATGTTCAGCCAGTACCAAAATGAGTGTTCCAAACATATTCTTTGCGTGGGAAATTTTCCAATTCTGGGATTTCACCTCAACTTGAGTACGGGTAATTTTTTTAATCACAGCATTTCACCCAAATGGGGATGGTGATTCTCTTGCTATTCCTTTCTGGCTAAATTAAAGAGAAGGGAACAGAAACCCTCTTGTCATCAGAGATTAGAATGCTATTTTCCTCACCTTAACTGCTTCAGAAGTTTAGTGCTTGGGTGTGCCGTTTGTTTTCACTGTTCCTTCCATTGTATCCTATTCCTTATTTGTGCCCAACTGTATTTTTAGGCGTGATGGATTTAGCGAAACATCTTTTATTTTGTGTTAATAATGGATCTGTAGCCCTTGCAAATCCTTTTCACTTAACTTCTAATGACCTTTGTTACATCAGAGAAAAGAAAAATAAAAGGTATGAGCCTCTAACAGACCTCAGGCAGCCAATCCAGGCAATAACAGCATTAAAAATATACAGAATTGGTGAGGTTGGAAGGGATCACAGTGAGTCATCTGGTCCAAGCTCCCTCTCAAGCCCAAGGCACAATGTGCCCCAGAGCACAATGCACAGGATTGAGTCTATCTCCAGTGAGGGAGACTCCACATCCATTCTGGGCAGCCTGCTCCAGAGCTCACTCACTGCACATTAGAAAAGTTCTTCCTCATATTCAGATGGAGCTTCCTGTGCATCAGTTTCTGCCCACTGCCTCTGATCTTACTGCTTATATTATTGATAATAAACATATTTCAAATCCAGGAACCCAAATTAGCAAATGTTCCTAACCAGGTAGCTCCTGAGAGGGCTCCATTATGATTTCCAGCTGTTGTTAGGATCCCTGGTTAGACCTGGTCACCTCCACATCCCTGCACCTCCTGCCCCCACAGCCTCCAGGAGCGAAAGAGCCTCAGCATCAGGGACAGAGATGCAGGATGGCTGGTAACTAAGACTAACACTCCACACACTCCATTTTGGCCACATCCACCCAAAACTTTGCCTTTATGCTGCAAAATAACCTGAAAGAAGGAACTCCTCTGCCTCCCCTCTACCCAGCCACCTTCTGCATTAAACATCTCCACCACCCCAGCTCTGATCACCCAATTTACTGGCATCAGCTTCTCTGTACAAAATGGCCCTTTGGCCTGCAAAGACTTTCGGGGGAGGGCAGGAAACTAGAAAAATCTGTTTCTGTTTATAATCAGAGTCCAGGGGGTATTACCAACAATCTGCACTAATTACAAATTCAATCTTCACTCATTTTGGTCCCTCTCGTCCTCTGGGCTGCAGATTAGATAATCCCTTTAAAATAATAGTCAATCATTAGCTCTGCTTTTTTCTGCCCCTCCTCACGCAAGCCGAGCGTGCCGGGCCGTTTCCCGGAATCCTCACACAGCTGGTGAAAGGTCTCCAGCCGCACACAAGCCGGTCCCTCCGGAAGCATCTTTTGTAACCAAAGCCCCTCTAACACAAAGCTGCTGTGCTGTGCTCCCAGGACAGCCACAGCTTCAATGGCCTCGCAGCGTGGAGGACAAAACCCGGCGCCAGCCCTGCAGCACGCGCTTTCCGCGCCCGCGAAATAAAGCGGAGGCTTTTTCCCATGGATTAGGGAAAATGCCTCCTGACTCTGCCACACTGACTCTGCACAAGCTTATTGGGCAGGAATCATTAGAAAGGTCTTCTTGCTGAACCACACCAGCTTTGGAGGCAGCTACAAAAGAGGGCTGAACTGGGAGTAAGTTGGGTTTGAGTTGGGATTAAATGTGCCATGGCAGCTGGCACAGCAGGAGCTGGGAGGAAGAGTACTGGCACATAGGCTTTGCTCTGCCAAATCCAATGCTGCCTACCAAAACACTCCTTTTCACCCCCAAAATGGACAGAGAACTGCTAGCAAATGTCTGGCAAATGACCTCCAAGAGCCCCGCTGCCGCAGGCTGGCTCGGCTGCTGCCCAGAGCCCAGAGCCAGGGAATGTCACCTCCCAGCCAGGCATCTGGGCTGCCTGCCTGCAAGCCTGCCCCAGCAGATGGTTCCAGCCATGGGCCTAATATAGTAACAGAGCCATAATGGATGGCCAGGCATGAAAACTGCCTCCCCCTGTCACCTGATAGCCCTGCCAGTGCCTCGTGCAGCCGTGATGGGTGTGAGGGGATCCCAACACGGGTGAAACCATTAAACCTAACACAGCATGGTCAGCCAACAGGGCTGCTGGTGATGGCCCTGGTTTGCACATGATGGAAGGGAATGGATCATGTTTCCAGTGAATGCAAAACACATCAGGCAGAAATGTCACAGACAGGTAGGGCAGCTTGGCAAGCTGTGGCATCTGCCAGCATCTGCCTGCATCTTTCCTTCAGGACTGTTTTTTCCTAGGAAAGCATATGCTGCCATTGCCACTGAAAATTACAATCTCCAGAGTGCGTTGCTTTGCATAATTTTTTTAAGCAGCGAGCATCTCCAGTGTGGGGAAGAAGATGCCAGTAGATGCAGCAGACTGGCTGTCTCCAAAACAGGACAGGATTTCTTAAAGGGAGAGGTGTTTGAGTCAAGCCCAAACTGTTGACTCATTAAAAGGTGAAGCATAAGAGCCTGTGATTCCACACACCAGTCTGCCTCACCTTGGCTCCCAAATCTGTCCTTCTCTACAGTGCCAACCATTTCACTCTCACAGGTGTTTGCACCTGAAAAGTAGAAGAACAGTCCAATTTCATCCCAAACACTTCCTGGAACACCAAAAGCTCTGCTCGCCTCA